TTTTATACTGTTGTTGTCTTTTCATCGTTTTTCATTTTTGTAATGGCATTGTCAGTTTGTTTTCAACAGTTTAAATATCCCTTCTGTTTCTTTCGCCTCAATTGATCGTCTAGTTTGGGGTTTTTTGTAATTTTTTTTCATTGTAGAGATTTAGAATTTAATGGTCATTTGTTTTATACCAAAAAATCCAAACCAGATACTTTTAAATATTTTTAAAAGGAGATGTGGGTAAAACAGGCAATCGACAAAATAATCAAAACTTAATGGAGATAATAAAAGAAAGCAAGTCTCTATCTCAATGTTGTCGTTCTATTAATTATTTTGACTTCATCTAATTTCACACCTTTTTACGTGCAAATTTTGCTAATGGACACATTAAAAAAATCACTTCGGATAAAAATCGGCCTTATGCAAGCACACGTATACATATACCGTTGATTGATTTTGGAGCATTCAAAATATAATGAAAGATTAATTTTGGTCTGACTTGTAGTGTTCTTTATAACTACTCAATTTTCAAACAGTTACAGACATGTTCATTTGAAGTGTTTTTCAGCCCGAAATAGATTTACAGATTTATTGATATTCATTTGCATATATTAAAATTGAGAATGGAAATGGGGAATGTGTCAAAGAGACAACAACCCGACCATAAAACAGACAACAGCAGAAGGTCACCAACAGGTCTTCAATGCAGCGAGAAATTCCCGCACCCGGAGGCGTCCTTCAGCTGGCCCCTAAACAAATATATATACTAGTTCAGTGATAATGAACGCCATACTAATCTCCAAATTGTACACAAGAAACTAAAATTAAAAATAATACAAGACTAACAAAGGCTAGAGGCTCCTGACTTGGGACAGGCGCAAAAATGCGGCGCAAAATATGCTAGATGTATAGGAGCCGCGAAAAAAATCAGTATAAAGGACGCTTCATACAGATATCTATGAACACAGTATATTGACAAACGAACTATTGTGATATGGTAGATAGTGGTTGATAAGGACACTACAAATGTAACAGTGTTACTAACTGAAATAGCTTTGAAACACGAGAAAAGGGAAAAAAATATTCATTGATGGTCAGGTGTAACATTAAATTGCGAGCCACATCGTATTTCATCAGATGATGCATTGCTTTAAACAATAGTAAACTGAGTAGAAATCACAGTAGATTCAGACTTTGACAGAAAATAAACAAATATATAATATGATACCATTTGATTAAAAAGTGAATTTCGTCACTCTTGTCTTTAGTTACAAGTGATTGAAGAAAGCATTATAAAGCTCATGTGCTTTTAACCAGTTCTTTTAATTATTTATATTAAAATATTTTTTCTCCAAAATTCATGTGCACTCCTGGGCGTTTTGACATAAACGTAGCTACGCTCTTGATATGCGCCGATTGACAGGAGAATCTGTGCCGCTTGAACTATTGACGTCATACAACAATCACTTATCCATTGAGGTGTCAGATATTTTGAATTATGACCTCAAAATTTTACGGGAACCTTTGTGATGTCCTGTAATGGAGGACAAAAAGCAATAAGGTGCATGCATGGGAACTTTTTACCGAATTTAGAAATCAATGCAGGATGCGACGCCCATACGGCCATGACCTCCATAGGATGTATCGGCCATACCTTGAAAAGATGTAACGGTCATAGGACAACATCGTCCATACTTTGTGAAGACGAGTTGTCCATGTTTTTTTTCTCCGGAAATTCTTATCTATAAAGTATTTAAATATATACATGTAGATGGTTATTATAACTTGTAAATGTATTGTGCTGTATTTACATTATTTGTCATGTTTTTATTTGTTATATACTTGAAATACGCATTGTATATATATATATCATATATAAATGTGTTTTATCTTGGACTATTATACTAATGTTAGTATAATAGTCCCATTTTTTCTAATACAAAAATTATATATTATTTTCTGAATGGATGTTTAATATCTTACGTAATATCTTACGTAAAACAAACTGAAAAATAAGATTGAATATCTAAAATGGCAATGAATGGGAGATTAATTTGATTAATCATGGTTAAAACAATAAGTTTAGTTTGAAATATAAAACAAAGTAATCTGATAATGATTAATTTTTAAAAAAATTTAAGAAGATAGTTAATTGCTCATTATTATTTGTTTGTGAACATAAGTATTAATTATGCTTTTGTCAAGAAATTGTAAAGGAAATACAAATCGAGAACCCTATAAAAAGACAGCACCCAAGCTGAGTTCAAGCGGATACAAACATACATTGGGTAGTGTTGTATTATTATATTTTATGTTATAACCTCAACATGCTCAATGAAATTAAAACTTAAAGTATGGACGATACGTCTTTACAGGGTATGGACGATATGTCTTTACAGGGTATGGACAATACGTCCCAAGGACGATGAAGGCCAACACATCCTATGGACGTCATGGAAATATGGCCGCCGCGTCTCGAAAGCTTTAGAAATGAGGAAAATATTTTTTTGTGAAGTAACTGATCTATATATGGATATGTTTTAGAATCGGGTTTATTACAACAGGAGTACATCACTTTAACTATATTTCAATAGGAAACATACGTTTCATTGTTGAAATATATTGATGGAATGTGACACTTTACTGAAAAATAAACCAGATCTCCTTTGTTTATTAAGATTCAACACGACAATGTTGAGTGATCATCAATAAGTTAAAAACATAGATCTTAAACAATCAATAAATGAACTACAACAAAAGTAAAATAACAAAAATACCAAAATCTGAGGAAAATTAATAACGGAAAGTCCGTAATCAAATGGCAAAATCAAAAGCTCAAACACATAAAAAAAAATGGATAACAACTGTCATATTCCTGACTTGGTAGCGGCATTTTCTTATGTAGAAAATGGTGGATTAAACCTGGTTTTATAGCTAGCTAAACCTCTCACTTGTATGACAGTCGCATTAAATTCCATTATATTGACAACGATGTGTGAACAAAACAAACAGACATAAAAGGTAATTATAAAAATGTCAAAAATAGGGATACAGCAGTCAACATTGTGTCACAATCTCAATCACTATAAAAACAAACAAATATGTAACAAAGAAACACAAAAAGGCATATAGACAAAGCACATTAGCAAAATGAAAGACAAGCTTAAGAATACAAAAAAATTACCATAGCGCAATAACACAATGACGGGATGTATAAGTACAGAGCCACGTCATATGTATTTTACAAAGAAACACAAAAAGGCTTATAGACAAAGCAAATTAGCAAACATGAAAGACAAGAATACACAAATATACCATAGCACAATAACACAATGACAGGATGTTTAAGTACAGAGCCACTTCAAATGGATATAACCAAAAACAGACTTATAATAAACAGTAAAAGTAATATTCATAAAGACAAATAAAACAATGCTATTACACGTTATTAAGATGATAAACAATGTCAGTACCCAGAATCTATACTTCAAGACCATCGTGTATTATTATGAAGTTGATACGAAATATTTATCAACAAAGTCTCTTCATTACATAAAAGATAATAATTTCTTCATCAAAAAAGTTTTTCATAAAATATGTGTTCATCATAAAAAATATCAATTTGAAGGAGATTGGGAGATTGATTGTTACTTGTTTACATGTAAATTCAATTAATGGAAACGATTAAAGAACATGCAGGGAGTAAAGTACATGTATGAACTTTAAGGTAGTACCAAACACCTTGACTAAAATTAATTTGGCTTGTTTAATTTTCATAAAATTTTGACAAAATATTTACTTTGACCCTTTGACAAAAATATAAAAATTTCATAAAACTTGAACCACACTTTATTGGAAAAATTTCATTGGATATATAGCAGTTTTATAAACACTAATTTTGATCATTGAGAAGCTTAATATTTCCTTAACAATAGAATGTGATTAAAACGTTCAGCTGATTTTTACAGAGTTATCTCCCTGTAGTGTTATGTACCACCTTAAAAGGTATCTTTAATTGAATTAAGATGAGAGTGTTATATAAAAAAAAAAATGCCATGTTAAGAATAAGCAAAAGTAGGTTAGCCATGCATTGAATGTCTGCTGTTCCATATATAGCGAAACAAATGAATAAGAAGATTGAATGTGCCTGTTATCAAGGATTTGTATAGTGAGACTACTATACAAATCCTTGCTGTTATGTAATATGGTGATAGATGAATTTCATTTTGTAATATACAAATTTCTATATAAAATGAATAATGACTACAGTCAAAAAGTCAGAAAATATTCAAGATTGACTAAATTGATACTTAGTTGGATGTTAAATGTTTCATTTATGAGTGTTGATCTACCTCAGGTTGTTCCTGTCAATCAGAACTTCTTTCAGTGACTTTGTATAAAATCTCTATAGACCTTTATAATGGGCAAAGTACTACGAAACTACTGGATATGCTTATTCTTCAGGAACATATGTGATCACTTCCAGTTTTTGATGGGGTGCGTGTTGCTCAGTCTTTAGTTTTTAGTTTTGTATGTGTTTTTTTGTGGATTTGTTTGTTTTTCCATTTTTGCCATGGCGTTGCAGGGGTGGATCCAGCCATATTAAAAAGGAGGTGGGGAGGGAGGGGGGGGTGTCCCAACCAAGGAGAAAGGGCGGTTCCAACCATATGTACCCATTCAAATGCATTGATCGTCCAAAAAAAAGAGGAAGTTCCAATCCCCGGAACCCCCCCCCTCCCCCTGGATTCTCCACTGCGTTGTCATTTTCTTTTTGACTTATGAGGTGTTCATGTCGCCTTGGTACATGTATCTTCAGCCTCTTTTTTAAGGTGAAACTTTTCACAAAGATTCACTTATGAATTCAATTAGTGGTTAAAATAAAATTTGTTATCAATGAATTGATAAAAAAAATGACACAGGTTTCCAATACCATGAATACTCGGTTTACATGTACCAAGTGAAATAATAAAAAAAATACACATACAGAACTTATATATCCTTATGTTTTTCAGATAGACAAAGTCTACCAGTCTAGTGACCTGAAAGATATATATCTACGAAATGAGGTTGAAGGCTTCAGGTAATATTATTAATTGTAATGTATAAAATGCTAAACCTTAGTATAAAAGATGTTCTGAGAGAAATTAATCTTTACGACTTTAGGAAGCAGAAACAAATCTTTTTTTCACTTGGCCATTGGTCTTCCATTTGGAGATTTTATAATCATTGTACAGTTAATTTCAATCTTTCTCTTACATGGCAGATATACTCTTCATGCATTTAATATAGATTCTACCACTGCATCACAGGGGCTTATATCATAGATCTTTTTAGGTTGGAAACATATACCAGTCGACTGGTATGCATTCTTCATTGAGATGAACACATTGTATAAAGAACGCATACCAGTCAATTGACATATAATGATTGCCAGATATTTTGGTGGTAGATTATATTTCTCTAATGATTTTTAGACGATATGCAGACAAACTTTATACTTTCTTTTGTAATGATCTGAAAGCAGATACCTTCTTGCTATGTGACGTCATCAGGCATAGTCTCCTTTTTTCAGCAATGTCAGAATAGGAAAATCAGAGGAAAGCAAGAAAATTTGACATCATAATTGAATTTTGGCCAATGAAAAACTGAGATCAAATGAACAACACGTTGATTAAATGAAAATAATCAACCTGTCAGGAATAGGATAAATCTGCTGTGAATTAGAAAAGAAGCTGGATACATGTCGTTCTCGTGTCGCATGAATGATAATTAATCCACAGTACACCTTCGTGCAAGCTCAAAATTTAATGAATACGATACATAAATATATTGTTTGATAACAGATGAACTAAATTATAATTATTTTTACAGACAAGGTAGTACTGAAGTTATTATTGATATCATCTTCAAGAACCCTGCAGTAGTCAAAGAAGATGTTTCTACAGCAGCGCCACCTGTTGTGAAGCTGGATATAAAAAAAGTTGCTGACACATTTGTTGAAAGTGTTCAGAATGGTGTTGTGGAAGAGTACAATGATGTTTTTGATATTGACACAAATACAGTCTCATTTGCTGGTAATTATTTTATTGCAGGGTTTAGAGAATTTTATACTGGGAATGCAGCCTCCTTCGGTATTGTGGTAACATGCTTACCCTGAGTGTGGGTGGTTGTGGGTAAAATTGATCCATCAGCAGGGTCAAATAAAAGGCTTTGAAATTGGTATATGTTGGTACACTACTAAGTAAACAGCTTTAATGAGTTAGAGCAAAGACTGGTAGGCTCGGGATCAGAATAATGTGTTTGGTTAGGTTGACATGTCTTCCTGCAGACTGTTAATATTTGAACTAACACATTAAAAATACGACTACAATCATTATCATCATGGTTGTTGGGAAATTTTTGCAATAGACTAATTTAGGCTATTTTCACTTTAATAGTAAAATAAAGTCTGACACAAGTTCACTTTTAATTTCATTAGTATTTTAATAGAAAACTTTTTATATATATTGCTAGTTCACAAGATAAAAGTCTGCAGGAAGACTGTCACCTTTCCTTAATACAATATTTTTGTAAAACTCATGGGGAGCATTTTCTAATTAAATACTATCCACATAATACTGGCACTGAAATATGCAAATGAGATGCATTTATCACAATGATATATAAAGGATTGAACTTTACAACTTAAATATTTAATGATAATTACATCAGTTGCCTGGTGAAATGAATTTATATGTGTTTTTATTACTTTTAGATATCACACCACCAGCCACTTCAGCATCACAAACAACAACACCGACTACCACAACACCAACTACAACAACACCAACTACCACAACACGAACTACTACAACACATACAACCACAACACCGACTACAACACCAACTACTACAACACATACAACCACAACACCGACTACAACACCAACTACTACAACACCGATTACAACAATACCAACTACCACAACACCAACAACCATAACATCAACTACTACAATGCCTACTACCACACCACAGACTTCAACAACACCAACTACCACAACACCAAATACCACAACACCTACAACCACAACACCAACTACCACAACACCTACAACCACAACACCTACAACCACAATGCCAACTACTACCACAACAACCTCACCAACTACTACAACACAAACTTCCACAATGACAACTGTTTCCATTGAATCTCTTGTTGTGTTCTATGTACAAGTTTTCATGAGAAACATGACCTGGATTCCTGCCTACAATGACACTGGCTCAGCAGAGTATCAAAACATGCTTCAGACTGTTAACCAGGTAGATTTTTTACTGTGGATTTTGCATCTGTACTCAATATCTCAATTTTCTATTATTATATGGTTCTCACTTATGATTTTTAAAAGCAAGTTCAAGTACTCTGTCTCAACATTTTTGGCCATGGCAGGTCCAAAAGCAATGTGTTAATATATTATTTAAAAATGGAGGAAAGAATTAAATTCAAAATTAGATTAATTTGAGTTTTGCTATAAAATGAAGAAAACTTGACTCAGATCACAGATGATTCACTTTTGATGCAACTTTGGACTCACCAGTTCAGAAAATGATGAGTCCCATACTCCTGGTTGCATTACTATATTTAAATCAATTTTATTAAATACATTGTGTTCTGACTGATTTAAACCATCCCCTTGATTCTTACATCCCCTCCCGCCCCACCCCAACCGCCAATTATATTCAATCTCCCCTTGTCACCAGGGTGTCGTGTTGAAGGGGACATAGAAATACAGACAATGTCTCTTACAAGTTCGAAAATAAGTTCTGAGAGATAAATTGTAAAAGAGTAATGCCCCTTGGAAATATTATTTATATATATGAAAAATTGCATTGTAAGCACTCTCATGTGTTCAATTTTTGTCAGATTTTTATCACCTTTATATCTAAGGTTTACATTGTTTATATCAGCAATGTCTCACACAAGTTCAACAATATTTGCAGATAAAATATTTTTTAAAGGATTTTGACCCTTGAAAATTGCATTGCATTGGATCTCAAAGATATTTACCAAAAGTTTTAAAGCATTGAAAAAAAGTTTTTTTTTTTTTAGTTATTGCCCTTGAACAGATAAAATATGTGCATCATGGGTGACATTAGAACTCTGTTCCTTTTATTATTAGAGATTTTTTCCTTTCCTTTGCATTCATTATAATCTATAGCAAGAAATGAAGAATAAAATTGACTGAACTGCCAAAATTGTGTCAAAATCTCGATGAGAATTTAATAGCTTTTTTTATGATTACTTTTTGTGAATAAATTTCAATTTAACAATTTTTCAACAGTTTAAGTGGATGCAATTTGAATTAAAGGTATATCTGATTTTGATGTTTAAATCTGCCACACCTTTACAGATATGATCCATTAACTTACCACCAAGGGTGACTGGGGAATAGAAGTATGGTCACCATTGGTCTTCCTCCGACCGGCAGTAAAACCCTCGCCAAAGTGGGGCGTCCGTTTGGCTGTGCGGGATGTACAAATTTGCAGCCACGTCCGGTCAGAATGTGGACGTTAAATCCGACGCCTCTATTACAGAACCTACCTATTGTATTTATTGTTAATTTGTTCTCGTCCTGAATATGCATGAAATATTTGCCACTGGACGTTAAGCAACCAACAATCAATCAATCAATCCATTAACTTACACAACTTTGTACATTTCACAATTAATTGTTGTACAGTCTTAGGTCATAAGTACTCTAAATTTCCCCTATATGTTTCATATGAAAAGTCATTTTTTAGCTCACCGTTCCAAAGGAACTGTGAGCTTTTGCCATTACTTGGCGTCCGTCGTCTTCTGTCGTCGTCTGTCGTCGTCCGTCTGGTGTAAACTATTTCAAACATCTTCTCCTCTGAAACTACTGAACCAATTCCAACCAAACTTAAGCTGAATGATGCGTATGGTATCTAGAATAAAGTTTGTGTTTTATTTACTGTTTTGTCAAATAACATGGCCGCCATGGCTAAAAATAGAACATAGGGGTAAAATGCAGTTTTTGGCTTATATCTCAAAAACCAAAGCATTTAGAGCAAATCTGACACAGGTTAAAGTGTTCATTAGGTGAAGTTCTATCAGCCCTGAAATTTTCAGTTGAATCTGATAACCAATTGTTGGGTAGCTGCCACTAAATTGGTAATTTTAAGGAAATTTTGCAGTTTTTGGTTATCTTGAATATTATTAATGATAAAGATAAACTGTGAACAGCAAAAATGTTCAGCAAGGTAAGATCTACAAATAAGTTCCTATGATCAAAATTGTCAATTGACCCCTTAAGAAGTAATTGCCCTTTAAGGACAATTTTACACAATTTTTTTATCATGTTTTCTAACTTTAAAAAAATCTTCTTCTCTGAAACTACTGAACCAATTCCAACCAAACTTAAGCTGAATGATTTTAAGGGTATCTAGAATAAAGTTTGTATTATTTTCTGTTTCGTAAAAAGACATGGCCACCATGGCTAAAAATAGAACGTAGGGGTAAAATGCAATTTTTGGCTTATATCTCAAAAACCAAAGCATTTAGAGCTAACCTGATGTAGAGGTAAATATGTTTATTAGGCCAAGTTCTGTCAGCCCTGAAATTTTCAGATGAATCTAACAACCCATTGTTGGATTGCTGCCACTTAATTGGTAATTTTAAGGAAATTTGGCAGATTTTGGTTATTATCTTGAATATTATTAATGATAAAGATAAACTGTAAACAGCAAAAATGTTCAGCAAAGTAAGATCTACAAATAAGTTTTGTATGACCAAAATTGTCAATTGTCCCCTTAAAGAGTTATTGCCCTTTAAAATCAATTTTTCACGATTTGTTCATTTAGTTTGCTTACTTTAAAAAGTCTACTCCTTTGAAACTGCTGAATCAATTTCAGCCAAACTTGTATTTTATTTTCTTGTACGTCAAGAAACATAGCCACTATGGCTAAAATGAAACATAGGGGTAAAATGCATTTCTTTGATTTTGAAGAAAATATGACAGATACAAAGAACATTTCAAAGGAAGTTTTAAGCCATTCTTTGATATATATTGAAATGCAAAAATAATCATTGATGAAAGATTTAAGCAAAAAATTACAGGTGAGCGATTCAGGCTCTTGAGAGCCTCTTGTTTTTTAAATTGTCAAAAACTAATTAGAGGTATAATTTTGATGAAATTTTTTACTGTTAAACTCATAAATATGTATAGTTTTTATACGACCGCAAAAATTAAAAATTTTTTGGTCGTATATTGGTATGACGTTGGCGTCGTCATCTGGCGTCGTCCGGCGTCGTCCGAAGACACATTGGTTTTCGCACTCTAACTTTAGTTTAAGTGAATGGATCTCCGTGAAATTTTACCATAAGGTTCAATACCACAAAAGGAAGGTTGGGATTGATTTTGGGGGTTATGGTACCAACAGTTAAGGAATTAGGGGCCAAAAAGGGGCCAAAAATAAGCATTTTTGTAACTTCCAGACATAACTTGTGTGTTAGTGTATGGATCTCTCTGACATTGTACCACAAGGTTCCATATCACAAAGGGAATGCTGGGATTGATTTTGGGGGTAATTGCCTCAAAATTTTAGGGATTAGGGGCCAAAAAAGGGGCAAAAAACAAGCATTTTTCTAGTTTCATGATAATAACTTGTGTGTGAGTGTATGGATCTTTCTGAAATTGAACTACAAGGTTCCATATCACAAAAGGGAAAGCTGGAATTGAGTTTGGGGGTAATTGCCCAAAATGTTTAGGAATAAGGGGCCAAAAAGGGGCCACAAATAGCATTTTTCTAGTTTCCAGACAATTACTTGTGTTCAAGTGTATGGATCTCTCTGAAATTGTACTGCAAGGTACCATACCAAAAAGGGAAGGCTGGGATTGATTTTGGGGGTAATTGCCTCAAAATGTTAGGAATTAGGGGCCAAAAAGGGAAAAAAAACAAGCATTTTTCTAGTTTCAGGACAATAACTTGTGTTCAAGTGCATGGATCTCTCTGAAATTGTACTGCAAGGTTCCATACCACAAAGGGAAGGCTGGGATTGAGTTTGGGGGTGATGAATCATAAGGGGTTTCAAAAAATTTGGGGGGGGGGGATTTTTTTTTTTCCTTTTTTTTCTTTTTTTCCTCTTTTTTTTCTTTTAAAATTTTCCATTTTAAGTTGGTTATTTCTGATTTATATTTAAAAGGAAATAATAATGATATGGTAGGAGATACACACTAAACAGGATGTGTAAATTATTATATAATAAGTATTGTGCAATAGCAAGAAATTTTCAATTGCACAGTATTGCACAATAGCAAGAAATCTTCCATTGCACAGTATTGCGCAATAGCAAGAAATCTTCAATTGCACAGTATTGCGCAATAGCAAGAAATATCCAATAGCACAATATTGCGCAATAGCAAGAAATTGTCAATGGTACAGTATTGCGCAATAGCAAGAAATATTCAATTGCACAGTATTGTGCAAAAGAAGATACTTCGTATAAATTGCTTATTTCTTGACCAATTTCAATGGGGTTTTATTCTTGAATTCTTTGGGTTCTTTAATGTGGTGAATCTAACCGTGTATTAAGTTTTTGGATTTTGGGCCCCGTTTTTAAATTGGTCCACATTGAGGTCCAAGGGGTCCAAAATTAAACTTTGTTTGATTTCATCAAAAATTGAATTATTTGGGTTCTTTGATATGCCGAATCTAACCGTGTATTTAGATTCTTAATTTTTGGTTCCGTTTTCAAATTGGTCTACATTAAGGTCCAAAGGGTCCAAAATTAAACTAAGTTTGATTTTAACAAAAATTGAATTCTTAGGGTTCTTTGATATGCTGAATCTAAACATTTTTTTAGATTTTTGATTATGGGCCCAGTTTTCAAGTTGATCCAAATCGGGGTCCAAAATTAAACTTTGTTTGATTTCAACAAAAATTGAATATATGGGGTTCTTTGATATGCTGAATCTAACCATGTATTTAGATTTTTGATTTTTGGGCCCCGTTATCAACTTTGTCCACATTGAGGTCAAAAGGGTCCTAAATTAAACTTTGTTTGATTTCATCAAAAATTGAATTCTTGGGGTTCTTTGATATGCTGAATCTAACCATGTATTTAGATTTTGGATATTGGACAATAATAGGTGAATGTCCAATTTAAAATTTTTAAGTTCTTAGACCACATTCATTCTGTGTCATTTAGACCACATTCATTAAGTGTCAGTAACCTATGCTGTGTCAAATATTTAATCACAATCCAAATTCAGAGCTGTATCAAGCTTGAATGTTGTGTCCATACTTGCCCCAACTGTTCAGGGTTTCGACCTCTGCGGTCGTATCAAGCTGCGCCCTGCGGAGCATTTTATTAATGGTTATTATGAAATATTTATGTTGGTTTCATTACTGAGAGATCATTATATATTATAAAAATATTGAAAATAAAGTGTATTTTTTTGTCTCTCCTTGACGGTGTCATAAAGCGAGACATAGATATGCTGTTTTTGCCGTCTGTGGCAGCGTCAACACTGTATTAGTTTCTGATTTTCTGTTATGCTAATCCTGTTTGGTGCTGTACCTTTAGTCATGGTTGATTGACTTTGAATATGTTTCAAAACTTGCATGTTTAAAGTATTGCTATTTTAATTTCAACATTTGCATCTTACTATCAAAATAACAAAAAGGCAAGACATATTTCAGTGTTTAACAGTTTATTTCCTATTTAGCTATTGCAATAAACAAATTAACAAGTACAAAAGAACAATTGATACTGAGGGAAAATATAACTTCATTGAAAGAATTTAAAAAAATTGAAAGAACTGAAAGAATAAAAAAATTCATAGATTTATATTAATGATTATCAATGATTTGCCTTGTAAAAGTCAATGACATTTATATTACATAATACATGATTATATCTTAGAAAAGGATTCATATATAATAGACGTATTTACACTTGTATGCAAATTTGTCCGTCATTACTTAAAATCACACAAGTTCCCGTAAAATTTGACATCACAATTTAAAAAATTTGACGTCATAATTAAAAAGTGATTGTTGCTTGACGTCAGAAGGTTATTCGGAGACAGATCTAAGGTCATTCGGAGACAACATTCAGCTAAATACCAAAAGTGTAAATACGTTTATTTGTCCATGATAGTTATTATTAACATGTTAATCTGTTTTGTAGATGGAAGCCAACCTGAGACAACAAATGTTATCTATGGATAGTTCATCTTCAATGTCTGAAACATCACCAATAGCACAAATCTTGTATCGACTTGTCTTCAAAGGTGTCCGGTAAGTATTTTTACTGTAAGAAAGGTGGGAATGTAGTTAGACTAGGAAAAGTTATTTTATATATACTGAACCTTGTTTGAAAAAATGGTTATAAACTATGAAAGGGTTCTTGACAATAGAAAAGTCAGCAACGTTTCGGTTGCACTTCTGTAAATATAGACAGTTCAATTTCACATAAGAACTCCTGCTAAAACTGAGCCACTTTTATTTTGAAGTTTTCGTAAAAAATGTTATCCTAAAATGAAAAGTTCATATGCACTACTAATTTTTTCAAAGGTCAAAATATAGGGCTGTGCGGCATATTTTTAACATTTATATGCTCGGAATTTTTAAGAGCTAAAACTTATTCTCAAATTCTGTACTACCCCTCCGTTCAATAATTGGGTCTTCCTCAAAATTCAATTTGTCCGCTATTCTTGTGTATTTATACTCATTACCATGTTCTGTCTCCATGACAACATAGAGATCATATCTGGGAACCAGTACATAAACAAAACAAAAGAGGCTCGGTTTTGGAAACAGCTGCATTTACAATTCGCAAAGTGCAACCTATATAGTTATATTCAGTCTTTTATGAAAAATATCAAACAAATCCTTACAATTATCTTTGCTACCTAAGAGATTTTTATCCAGCCACTAGAAGGGCCAAATTGAAGCCTTGGCTAGCAAAGATGCCTTACAATGAGACTATTTAAGAAATTATTAATGCTGAATACTTTGATTAAAGTCTGATATTAACATAAAAATTTTTGATATTTCAGTCCATTGAATGTAAATGTTGAAATTATGTTTAACCTGGAGTTCAAAGGTCGTTATGCTGAGAAGTCAGATGGTTCTCAAGTGATGTTGGACTGGTTGGCCATCAAAGACATTTTATCAGCTGGTCTAAAAATAGATAGAGATGATTGTATCATAACAGGTTTGTTTTATGTGTACAGGTTTGTTTTGTGTGGACAATAAATTCAATTTATATTATAACTATCTGGTTGATGTAAGATTTTGGACCTATAGAAAATAAATGTAACTTCTTTTTGAAGACCATTAAAGAATTTTTTCACAGGTAAATCCTGTACATGTTTTTATAAATACATTTGTATTTAAAGCAGTATACAAATGTATGATTTTAAATTTTGAAGTAATTTTCAATCCCTGGATTTTGACATAGTTGGTCAACTATTATTTCTTCTGATACTAGTAATCAAATAATAGTGACAGGAGATATTGGGGTTTTCACCTCCGTGTCCCTCAAAAGGGAATTTCCAATTTAAAAACAAAATTTGCAAGGCTCCCTTCTTCCCCTTATCCCACCACTATCTCTAGAGAAAAAAAAACTATATATATAGCTATGCCAGATCATTCAAAATGTAAAGGTATCTAAAAAGGGATAAAGATGGCTGAATATAGATGTGTATTGATACCATAAGTATGATTATCAAAACATATCATTGAAAAATTTGATAAAAGGGTTTTTCAATGCTAAGTGAATGAAATATAATTTATATGCAAATGTCATTTAGAAGCATTTTTTTCAAAACTGTGCAAAAACAAGTTTTAAGTCATTCATTCACTTCAATTTGGTATATGTAAAGGCTTAATAAAGACATGTTATGATAAAGAATATTTATACTTTTACAAACTGTAAGGCAAACATTTTTATCTTTCATCGTGATGTTTTTGTCGAGCCTGCTACTTTTGTCGCAGAAAGCTTCATATAGGGATAGTGATCAGGTGGCGGCTATGGCGGCGTTAGCTAACTTCTTAAAAGCTTTATATTTTAGAAGGTGGAAGACCTGGATGCTTCATACTTTGTATATGGATGCCTCATGTTACGAAGTTTCCGTCAATAACATGTCCAATGTCCTTGACCTCATTTGCATGGTTCGGTGACTACTTGAAAAAAAAGTTAACATTTTTTGTAATGTTAAATTCTTTCTTATTTTAAGTAGTAGGATAACTATATTTGGTATGTGCGTACCTTGCAAGGTCCTCATGCCCGTCAGATAGTTTTCACTTGACCTTGACCTCATTTCATGGATCAGTGAACAAGGTTAAGTTTTGGTGGTCAAGTCCATATCTCAGATACTATAAGCAATAGGTCAAGTATATTCGGTGTATGGAAGGACTGTAAGGTGTACATGTCTAGCTGGCAGGTGTCATTTGACCTTGACCTCATTTTCATGGTTCAGTGGTCAAAGTTAAGATTTTGAATTTTGGTCTTTTTTTCTAATACTATATGCAAAAGGTCATCTATATTTGGTGTATGGAAATATTTTATGATCTATATGTCAGTCGCGCAGGTTTTATTTCACCTTGACCTCATTTACACAGTTCATTGCTCAGTGTTAAGTTTTTGTGTTTTGGTCTGTTTTTCTTAAACTATAAGCAATAGGTCAACTGTATTTGTTGTATGGAAGAATTGTTAGCTGTACATGCCTACCTGGCATGGTTCATCTGACCTTGACCTCATTTTCATGGTTCATTGGTCAATGTTAAGTTTATGTGACAGTTGTAATAAAGCTTTATATTTAGGACTAACAACATATAATATCAATGATTAGTAAAGAAGGCGAGACATTTCAGCGTGTGCACTCTTGTTTAAAATAAACTTATGAATAAAAAAGTATTTACTATTTTACAATTACTTGTGCCTTTTTTCCAGACTTAACACCAATGACAACAATAGCTGTAAAGGATTCAACACCAAATACAACAACAGTAATGCCTAACACAACATTCTGGCAACCACATAACATGTCTTCAACAACCAAATCTGTCAACTTAATAACACCCAATACAACAACAGTTATGCCTAACACAACATTCTGGCAACCACATAACATTTCTTCAACGACCAAATCTGTCAACTTTTCAACACCCAATACAACAACAGCAATGCCGAACACAACATTCTGGCAACCACATAACATTTCTACAACCACCAAATCTGTCAACATTTCAACACCCAATACAACAACTGTTACAGCCATGCCTAACACAACATTCTGGCAACCACATAACATTTCTACAACTACATCAAGCTCTGTTCCTAATGGCACAGTGATTTTCTCTGTACAACTTTTGATGATCAATATGACCTGGATCCCTGCCTACAATGATACCAGTTCACCTGAGTATCAACTGTTAATGTTGGAAATACAACAGGTATTTATGAATACTATTCTCAATATAATGCTAGATTTTTCAATGATATTTGAAACAAAGGCAAAAATGATGGCAATTTTTACAACCACTTTGGTCATTAATACTTAAAGTCATATGAAACTTCAAATTAAAAAAAATGATGCATATGTTTTTTATAACTAAATGACTTACTTGACTTAATCCACTGCGTCCCAAGGGGGACATAGGGCGACTACAGTTTCTCTCCATTTCTTCCTGTCCATGGCTGTTTGTTTTGTTTCTTTCCAGGTCTTCCCAATTTTACTCAGCTCTGTTGTTAGTCCCCTGCGCTAGGTGTTTTTTGGCCTCCCCCTTTTTCGATGTCCTTGGGGGTTCCATTCTAGGGCTTGCTTGGTGATATTTGTGTCTTTTTTTCCAAGGGTATGCCCGATCCACTTCCACTTTCTTGTTCTTATTATCTGAGTTGTTGGCTGTTGTTTGGTTCTTCTCCATAACTCATTGTTGGATATTTTGTTTGGCCATCTGATGTTGAGGATGTTTCTCAAACATTTATTGACAAAAGTTTGGATTGATTTGATAGATGCAGCTATTTCTCTCCAGGTTTCTGATCCGTATAAGAGTATAGATTTGACATTGGTGGTAAATATCCTTAACTTTGTGCTAGTTCTTAAAGCATTACTCCTCCAAACGGGTTTAAGCATGGAAAATACCTGTTGTGCTTTCTTTTTTCTTGCCGATATGTCTTCGTCTGTGCCTCCTGCTGTACTGACAATACTTCCAAGGTAAGTGAATGGTAGTACATCTTCAACAGTAGAGTCGTCGATCTTAAGACAATCTTGCTGGTTTGTATTTAGCCTCATTGATTTAGTTTTCTGTGTGTTGATGTATAGGCCTGTTTGTTTTGCTACTGTTTCAAGACTTTTGGTCTGATGTTGTGCATCTTGGAAGCAATGGGATAGTGTACAAATGTCATCGGCAAATTCTAGGTCTTCAAGACGTGTTGTGAGAGTCCATCCAATGCCTTTCGGATCTTTGTAGGCTGATTTACCAACCCAGTCAACTACTATTAGGAAAAGGAGCGGAGAGAGAAGACAACCTTGACGTTCCCCAGTTGTAACGGGGAATAGTTCGGTCATAGTTCCACCGTGTATAACTTGACAGGAAAATTGGTAGTATAGCAGTTTTATCATTTTGATGATCTTTTGTGGAATTCCATTTGGTCTACACATGATCTTTCTTGTCTGAAGCCAGCTTGTTCATCTCTTAATATCTTATCGACTTCATTTTTCATTCTGCTAAGGATGGTACTACAGAGCAGTTTGCTTGGTATGGACAATAAAATGATACCTCTCCAGTTGTTGCAAAGTGACTTGTTACCTTTTTTGGGGATTTTCACTAAAAGTCCTTTACTCCAATCATCTGGTATTTCTTCTTCTTCCCAGATCTTATTAAGTAGTTGTAACAGGCTAAGGACAGAGGTATCATCAAAGACTTTTATAGCTTCTGGTGGTATGTTATCAATGCCGCCTGCTTTCCCATTTTTGTCGAGCCTGCGACTTTTGTCGCAGAAAGCTCGACATAGGGATAGTGATCCGGCGGTGGCGGCGTTGTATATACTTTGTATATAGATGCCTTATGTTACGAAGTTTCCGTCTGTCATATGTCCAATGTCCTTGACCTCATTTTCATGGTTCAGTGACTACTTGAAAAAAAAGTCAACATTTTTTGTAATGTTAATTTCTTTCTTATTATGAGTAATAGGATAACTATATTTAGTATGTGCGTACCTTGCACGGTCCTCATGCCCGTCAGACAATTTTCATTTGACCTCGACCTCATTTCATGGATCAGTGAACCAGGTTAAGTTTTCGTGGTCAAGTCCATATATCAGATACTATAAGCAGTAGGTCTACTATATTTGGTGTAAGGAATGATTGTAAGGTGTACATGTCTAGCTGGCAGGTGTCATCTGACCTTGACCTCATTTTCGTGGATCAGTGGTCAAAAGTTAAGTTTTTGAGTTTTGGTCTTTTTTTCTAATACTATATGCAATAGTTCAACTATATTTGGTGAATGGAAATATTATATGATCTATATGTCAGTCACACAGGTTTTATTTGACCTTGACCTCATTTTCAAGGTTCATTGCTCAGTGTTAAGTTTTTGTGTTTTGGTCTGTTTTTCTTAAACTATAAGCAATAGGTCAACTATATTTGGTGTAAGGAATGATTGTAAGGTGTACATGTCTAGCTGGCAGGTGTCATCTGACCTTGACCTCATTTTCGTGGATCAGTGGTCAAAAGTTAAGTTTTTGAGTTTTGGTCTTTTTTTCTAATACTATATGCAATAGTTCAACTATATTTGGTATATGGAAATATTATATGATCTATATGTCAGTCACGCAGGTTTTATTTGACCTTGACCTCATTTTCAAGGTTCATTGCTCAGTGTTAAGTTTTTGTGTTTTGGTCTGTTTTTCTTAAACTATAAGCAATAGGTCAACTATATTTGTTGTATGGAAGAATTGTTAGCTATATATGGCTGCCTAGCATGGTTCATCTGACCTTGACCTCATTTTCATGGTTCATTGGTCAATGTTTAGTTTACTTGGTTAATGTTAAGTTTATGTGACAGTTGTAATAAAGCTTTATATTTAGGACTATCAACATAATATCAATGATTAATAAAGAAGGCGAGACATTTCAGCGTGTGCACTCTTGTTTTAGACTTTTGATAGCTTTGGTAACTTCAGCTTTTGTTATTTTGCTGGTTTTGATGTTTAAAGTTGGACCTTTTTGTAGTTCAGGTGGATCTGTAGGTGGGGGTCGGTTAAGAACCTGCTCGAAATGCTCTTTCCATCTTTCAAGTTGTTCTTCCAGTTGAGTGAGGGTCTTGTTGTCTTTATCTTTGATAGGTGTATTTGAGGTTGGTGGTTTTCCACTTAATTGCTTTGTAATGTTGTATAGGAATTTGATGTCTCCCTTGCTACAGGCGGCTTCGGCTTCTTTGGCTAGTTGTTCCACGAAGTTCCTTTTATCTTGTTTGCAGCTTTTCTTCACCTCTTTATCTTTATTGCTATATTGTTCTTGTGTCTGTTTTTTCTGCTGTCTAGTTATAGCAGTCAGAACTTTTTCTTTCACTTGTCATCTTTCGTTGACAATTTTCCATGTATTTTCTGACATCCATTGCTTGCGGTTTTGTTGGAGATAACCGACAGTTTCTTCACACGATTGAACAATAGAATCTCTGGTCATTTCCCATGCTGTGTTGATGTTAGTTTCGTCATCATGTAGGTTTTCAAGTACACTAAATTTGTTTTGGAGCAGAATTTGATAGTCTTGAACAACTTTATGGTCTTTGAATAGATCAACATTAAACTTCTTTCTTTTAGACTTTGTTTTTTTGTTGAAAGTAGTTTTAGTTTTATCTTTGCAATGATTAGGTGGTGATCTGATGCTAAGTCGGCTCCTCTCTTGTTTCGCACATCTTGTAGAGATGACCTCCATCTTTGCGATATAGCGATATGGTCTATTTGATTTTCTGTCACTCCATTTGGCGAAACCCAAGTAACTTTGTGGCAGTTTTTATGGGGGAAAAGTGTACCACCTATTACTAAACTGTTTACAGCACAGAAATCAGCAAAGATTTCACCGTTCTCATTCATTTCACCAATTCCATTTGGTCCCATTTCTCTTTCTCTCCCTGTCCTGTCCTTACCCACTTTTGCATTGAGGTCTCCTATAACTAAATGGCTAGTTTTTATTATAAAAATTATGTGAATATACTTTTTTCTCAAGAAAATTATATAATTTGTCCAAATTAAGAAGAAATTTACTTTTTTTAATTGTTTGCATCCAGTAAACAATTCGCAGATATGTTTTCCGTATGCAGTGAACTCAGCGTGACCTTTCTCGTAAAAATCCTGTGATCGCAATACTCGTGGGTCTGTCATTGAAATAAACTATTATCTTATTGTACATGTTATAATACACGTGCTCAATATCCATGCTTCTTTGTTGATTGTTTACTAAAGTGACAATCGGTAAACTTAGTAACGGCTTCAAAACACGACAATTAATTAGCTGCCATATTTTCACATCATAACAGACAGAGAGAAATTATTTTTTGACGATTATACGATATGGATGCGTAAAAAATGATAAAATCGTGCACAGAAGACTAAGTTTATGATATATACATGCATTGGTTCAAGAATTGGATAAACACTATTTTTCACCAGTCACTCGTTTCATATGACTTTAAAAAGTAATGATAGGAATCCCTTAAATACTGCACAGTACAACAATACCGCATAATCCACTGACTCCACCAAAAACACCCAAAGATTAACAACAACAAACAATACATGGTAAAGAAGCCTGACTTCTTCCCATAATAAAACCCAAATAGTGTATATACCAATTATAGCTAATATCCTAATGCTTGTAGATTATACTTAAGTTGGCTTCTGCTTGCTTTGTATAAACGCTTGCACAAGCAATGGAATTAAGATTGACATCTGCAAACAATATAGATTGGGCGGAGTTTAACCTTACTAACATTGTCTTGTTATGTTTACATGTACAATTGGGTGTTCCTAACCTCCAGGATAGCATCCAATCAAATTTAAGTACAATGTATACAGGTTTAACTCCTCCTATTTATATCCCCGCTTTAAAAAAGTGGAGGTATACTGTTTTACCTCTGTCTGTCCGTCCATCCATCTGTCCTTCCGTCCGTCCATCCATCCGTCCCATGAATATTTTTCGTCGCATCTTTCTCAGGAACTACATTACAAAGATTTCTGAAATTTGGTTTCAGGGTTTATATAAGTAAGTTACACCGTGTGATGCGTTTTCAGATTCATCACTTAACAACTTCCTGTTTACCGAACACTTGTATTATTTTACACATGATAGCCAAGTTGAAAATTTTCGTCACATTTTTCTCAGGAACTACTTGACAAGGATTTCTGAAATTTGGTTTCAGGGCAGGGCTTCCAAAACGGTCATATATTCCGGACTTGACCGAAACTTTCATAAAAAGACCGGCTGCTCTCAGCCTCAAACGGTCAAATAGAATTGGTGTGCCACATTTTGTTATTCAAGGCATTTTCATGAAACGGTCATTTCAATTTTTACCAACTATCGATCGATAAAAATGTCCGTTTGGGGCTTTGGGCATGTCCGTTTTGGGCATTTTAGTTTATAATTGTGGCAATCTATTTCACAAAGATATTTCGGTCATAATTGGGTTTAATAAAACAGAAGCAGCATATTTCAGATACTTTGAAGTGTCTCAGTTAGTCTAATCCTCTGGGTACATAAATGTACGGCTTGGTCTTTAGCTTGTGTACATCAATAAAAAGTAGAAAAAACACGTTTTCTTTTATTTAAATAACAACAAGCTGTCAAACAATTATCCCTTCAATAAGTTATATTGAAGCCATAAATCATTCACTGATTACAGGTTTGTTACCTTTGATGAGGTGTCCTTAGCTTATCTTTATCAATAGAATTAATGATGCATAACAATGTACATAAAGGTAATCCGGTAAACGAGGTCAAACATGTAAGCGTGTATGGAACAACATCCTATTTAATTACGCTTTATAGATATTATTTTAAATGAGCATTCAGTTTTAAAAGTATCCTGATATTTAAAAGTTATTCTTCAAATAAGGATATTTATAAATGAATAAGTATGATATATATTATTTTATTTAACACTGTACATCGTGTTAAATACTGGGGTACTCTCAAGGGGAAAATTTACTAAAATATATAGGAAAAACCAATGGACAAATTTCAGTCAATAAATGATTTAACTAAGTTAAATGGTGCCGTGATCACTTCTAAATTATATCCAGAGAACAATGCCTGCTCCGAATTTATTCAGACAATTTCCGATGTTATAGAGAAAGAGGTGATGTCCGACGTAAAGTTAAGTCCCGCCGTGGGAATTATGATCGACTAAGGTGTAGTCTAGGTATTGACGCTTTAGATCAACTTATGAGGATAAGCTTAGTAGGTGTAGATGTTAAAGACTTTGACCCTGTTCCTGCTATCCGCAAATGGCAATCCGTTCGTAACCGCCATGTTTATCAGAACAATGCATTTAGCAAGCTCATGAATGTAAAATCTTTAATTAGACTAAATGAACTCTAATCTTGTGCTGTGATCTGTGCTTCTTTTCAATGTGCTCATTGTAATATTTATTGCGTGTGTTTGTCAGCATTGTGCTCTTCTGACATTTTATTGTTGTTATATGCTTACATAAAATATCATGTTGTTATTCATTAAATTATTTATCAACTGAGTATGTTTTTATTTATTCCTTATTTTCTAAATCAGGTTGGGAAATTGTACAAAGAAAAATGTTATCACTGTTCAGTAGATTTTACACGGTTTAAAACAATATCCTTCATCGGGCCTCCTCAATGTTATCTATAAATACCGCATCAGTTGTAAAAGTCACGTGGTCAGGTAATCAATACACAAAAAGAAAAGTATCACGTGTATTGATGATCAAGTTGTACTGCAATTATAGCCAACATCAACAGTTTCAAATAAGATGGCCTTAATTTACAAAGTGTTAAGTACTCACAGAGAGAAGATAGATTATATAAACAGAAACAAAAACATGAGAACAGTCAGGTACTGAAGCTGATTGATGCAATGATGGTTACTGTATTACGATACACAGAAAAATGACACAATACCGAGGATAATATTTTATTTATTTTTAGAATGAAGAAAACAAAACAGTTATAAATAATTTTATTGCATATAACACTACTAATTATTTAGACACATATATCAATTTATGCATCCTCTCAGTTACATTTAAGTATCCAGCTGATCATTGACCGTCAAAAATATTTCTTTGAAAAATGTCCGGCTGTCGTCAGGAAATTTTGGAAGCCCTGTTTCAGGGTTTATATAAGTCAGCTTTACCATGTAATGCGTTTTCAGATTCATCACTCAACAACTTCCTGTAAGTGTTTACCAAAATATTATGGCGGGGGTATCATCAGTGAGCAGTAGCTCACAGTTTTACTTGTTTTTTATACTCTTCCTGTCATGCCACAGAATGTAAACAGAAAATTATTCTTTCTCTTTATATTCCTCTGTCAATGAAATTTGTTCCACCTAACAGAAGTTCCATTGGAAACTTTGTTATAAACAATGTCATAATATCTGTTCCTGTTGGAACAAATATTCTATACCATTTATTCTGTTAGGAACATATACTGTTATATTTATTCCAATGGAAATTATATTCCAGAATGTTTTTTCCATTTGGAACTTATATTATGAAGGAACTTCTATTTCTTGACACCTCCTTTGTAAAGGTGCACACTATCTTTAGCTGATTTTTTGTTTAAGTTGAGGGTTTATAAAAATCTTTAAAAAAAGTTTGGAGTTGATGCGATTCCATCAATTTCTGTTTGTTGATTTGTCTCTTTCTATCGATTTACAAGATTTGAACATCAGTAAACAACCAGTACTGTAGCCATATGTATCTTATTTTTTTGTATTATTCAATTTGTACCTGGGTTAACATTAAAGTAACAGTTCAAATTCAAAGTTGTTTAATTTTATCATATCTAGTTGCACAATCATATTAGTCCTCTTGTCAGAAAAAAACAATTAAATATTTTGCAGTGAATACAGTGGCAATGTTATGATAATGTTTGACCTAGTGTTTAAAGCTCGTTACGCTATGATGACAGATGGTTCTATGATGACGATGGATAGCAAGATGGTGGGAAATATTTTATCCGATGTAATTAACGTAGACCTAAGTCATATACATATTAAAGGTTAGTGCATCTTAATTTCACAAAAGTTTTACTACCGGCACTGTTTTCGTATCTATGAATTTTTCTGTTGCTGAGATTCGGTGAATCTTTAGTTAACATTTTTGTACCTGGCAGTTTTCTAGCTATCATTTTAATGCAGAAGGTTGCAGTTGATAGACAGTTTCTCGATCATGTTTATAGATAAAAAATCGATATATTTGAATAAATTAATGTGTTTTTGCTAGATTTAATGTATTTTTGGGAGTTGATATTACTGATCTGCATTAATTGAAAAACTTTAGAAACAAAAATGTGCTATTTTGCATAGGGGTGTATAAAAAGGGTTAGCCGGGAGAAGTGCCCTCCATTATGGGCTAGTTGGGACTCTGTCTGACATTGTTTACGGCCTTTTTAATTTTTTGATCCAGTTCATATATACATTGTATCAGGTTAACTTTTGTCCATGCAAGAACAGAATAAAGGGCAAAATAAAACAAAAAAGAATAAAGAAAAATAGTCAAAAAATTCAAGAATAGTATTAAAATGTAAAGAATAGTGAATATTGGGCAAAATTGTCTAAAAATTAAAGAATAAAGAATGAGGGACCGCCCATCCAGACCCTGAACATGCATCTCATTATTTTTGTTGTGTAAATGAGTACTCTTTACAATTTTTTTAATGTGTCCATTTTCCTAGTCTGTTGAGATGCCACAACCATTGATAGAAAAAACAGCAAATACAAAAATCAGAAGGTGGAGTATAATTGCCAATAAGACAACTCTCCACCAGAGACCAAATGATATAGTAGTTAACAGCTATAGGTCACCGTACAGTCTTCAAGAATGAGCAAAACCCATACTGCATAGTCAGCTTTGAAAGGACCTGAAATGACAAATTAAATGTAAAACAATTCATACGAATAAACTAACGACCTGATTTATGTAAAAAAAAAAACAATGAACTAAATACAAATATGATATACAGCAAATACAACAACCACTAAATTACAAGGTCCTGACTTGGAACAGTCACATACAAAATGTGGCAATTAAACATGTTAGCTGGCGCCCACCCTCCCCCTAACTTGGGACAGCAGTGTTACAGTACAACATATGAACAAACTATAAAAATCAATTGATAAGGGCTTAACTCATCAGATCACAAAAACACAGACAGGAAGTGGCCGGGTATTTATATATCCTTACAACAAAACAGACATTAAGTACAGATCTGAGAGTACTCACAGTTACATGTGTACTGACAGCTAGTTCAAAGCCAATAACAACTAATACAAAAATCATGTTATTTAAGACTAAAGTATCAATCAGCACACATCCAAACCTTATTTGATAAGCAACTTCAAGGGGGGGAGGGTATGGTTTTTTTTCTTAGTCAGAATTTTTTTTTTTGCGCAAAGCACGAACAAATTTATTTAGTTTTTTGACACGATCAATCAGATTATTTTTTTCAAAATTTAACACTATAAGGTATGGGGAGAATTAGCATTCAGAATAAATTTTTTTTGTCATCTGCTTGACCAGAATATTTTTTTTCATCAAATTGGGGATCAGAATATTTTTTTAGAAAAAAACCATAACCCCCCCCCCCCCCCCCCTGGAAGTTAAATGGTCGTTCCCTTATGATAAATTTTATAAAGTAGCTGACCCCCACCAAAGTGTCATATTTAAATTCATTTTATAAAGACTCATCAAAATTTCTTTATCTATATCTTATGCTGAAAAATTTCTGTAGTATGTTGAATTTTTCCAGATTTGTTTCGAGCCTGCAACTTTTGTCGCAGAAAGCTCGACATAGGGATAGTGATCCGGCGGCGGCGGCGTTAGCTTACTTCTTAAAAGCTTTATATTTTAGAAGGTGGAAGATCTGGATGCTTCATACTTTGTATATGGATGCCTCATGTTACGAAGTTTTCGTCAGTCACATGTCCAATGTCCTTGACCTCATTTTCATGGTTCAGTGACTACTTGAAAAAAAAGTTAAGATTTTTTGTAATGTTAAATTCTCTCTTATTATAAGTAATAGGATAACTATATTTGGTATGTGCGTACCTAACAAGGTCTTCATGCCCGTCAGACAGTTTTCATTTGACCTCGACCTCATTTCATGGATCAGTGAACAAGGTTAAGTTTTGGTGGTCAAGTCCATATCTGAGATACTATAAGCAATAGGTCTCGTATATTCGGTGTATGGAAGGACTGTAAGGTGAACATGTCCAACTGGCAGGTGTCATCTGACCTTGACCTCATTTTCATGGTTCAGTGGTTATAGTTAAGTTTTTGTGTTTTGGTCTGTTTTTCTTATACTGTATGCAATAGGTCTACTACATTTGGTGTATGGAATGATTGTAAGGTGTACATGTCTAGCTGGCAGGTGTCATCTGACCTTGACCTCATTTTCATGGTTCAGTGGTCAAAGTTAAGTTTTTGAGTTTTGGTCTTTTTTTCTAATACTGTATGCAATAGGTCTTCTATATTTGGTGTATGGAATGATTGTAAGGTGTACATGTCTAGCTGGCAGGTGTCATCTGACCTTGACCTCATTTTCATGGTTCAGTGGTCAAAGTTAAATTTTTGAGTTTTGGTCTTTTTTTCTAATACTGTATACAATAGTTCAACTATATTTGGTGTATGGAAATATTTTATGATCTAAATGTCAGTCACGCAGGTTTTATGTGACCTTGACCTCATTTTCAAGGTTCATTGCTCAGTGTTAAGTTTTTGTGTTTTGGTCTGTTTTTCTTAAACTATAAGCAATAGGTCAACTATATTTGTTGTATGGAAGAATTGGTAGCTGTACATGCCTGCCTAGCATGGTTCATCTGACCTTGACCTCATTTTCATGGTTCATTGGTCAATGTTTAGTTTACTTGGTTAATGTTAAGTTTATGTGACAGTTGTAATATTAAGCTTTATATTTAGGACTATCAACATAATTTCAATGATTAGTAAAGAAGGCGAGACATTTCAGTGTGTGCACTCTTGTTAGAAGATTAGTTTGCAATCATGGAAATAATTTATCATTTTGTATTATTGTCACTTGTTAGATACAATCATTATGTTTCCTGGGATACCAATTTTCATGGATTACGTGGGTATATGGTAACCACAAATTTAAATGTTCAACAAAGTGTACATTTTTTTATAGGCTTGTATTCAAACTTAGACAAAACCACGAAATCAGATCATGAAAATGCTAAATTTTCTCAATTCACGAAAATTGATGTCAACAAAAATAATTGAATCATGTAGTAAACATTGAAATCTTTATTTTTTTTTAAATTCAATTATTGTTCTCTGATATTGCTTTATTTCGTATAATATTTTAACAAGAAAGTATAATATTATAGTTAAGGTATTACCAAACACCTTGACTAAAATTAATTTGGCTTGTTTAATTTTCATAAAATTTTGACAATATGTTTACTTTGACCCTTTGAGAAAAATCAAAAAATTTCAAAAAACTTGAACCACACACTTTATCGGAAAAATTTCATTGGATATTTATATAGCAGTTTGACAAACACTAATTTTGATCACTGAGAAGCTTAATATTTCCTCAACAATAGAACGTGATTAAAACGTTCAGCTGATTTTTTACAGAGTTAGCTACCTGTAGTGTTATGTACTACCTTAAAAGCCATCCTGGTCATTGTTTATTAACACTTTGGTGTGTATAAATCAGTCAAAGCTTAGAAGCATCAGAAAACATATATAGACTGATGATGATTTATGGTCTGAATTCCTTTTTTTACTGAAATGGGATATACATACATGTTTTTCTTAATTATATCTGAAATTTAGTGCCTGGGAGTTTTTTTTAAAAATTTGATGATTTAAGCAAGGAACAAATGTCAGTTATTTGAAATGTAACTTCCATATTGTGAATTTACCACTAGCTAGCTAGCAATTTAATTTTTGGCCATGGTGTTGTCGGTTTGTTTTCGATCTGTGAGTTTGGCTGTCCCTCTGGTATCTTTCGTCCCCCTTTTAATGTTTTTGTAATATTTGATATTTATAGATTTGATGTCTGAACCACAGAGTACTACTCCTACAAGTGCTGGAGGTAACACCACTACAATGGCTCCACCAAGTAATACAACAGTACAAACAGGTATTTACTGTAATAATGATAGTACTTTTACACAGCACCATCATCAGGCTTTTATTGTACTGTGTTAGTACTTAGATATAAGAAGATGTGGTATGAGTGCCAATGAGACAACTCTCCATCCAAGTCACAATTTGTAAAAGTAAACAATTATAGGTCAAAGTATGGCCTTCAACACGGAGCCTTGGCTCACACCAAACAGCAAGCTACAAAGGGCCCCAAAAATGACTAGTGTAAAACCATTCAAATGGGAAAACCAACAGTCTAATCTATATAAAATATGAGAAAAGTGATACACTTATGAACCACATTCAACTGTTTTATGAAGATGAAAAATATATAATTCATTTATATTTAAATTATCTTTAATATTGTAATATCTCATTTAAATGTAGGATGATTCACACAATTCTTTGGAAATGGCTTAAAAGAATCTTTTTTTTCAATTTAAATAAATTATTTGTGCTTATAAGATCCACTGTGAACAGAAAACTTAGGATAGATAATTCTTTTAATAACGGATAATTGCCTAAAATTCTAAAAGGATTCTATCAGCAAAAAACATGAGTTATATAACAATATGCAAAGCAAAAAAATATGCTAAATCTTTCTTTGAGATTGCTTATATTAATTAGTGATGATCCAGTCAAAAATTACAAGATAACTTCTAGACTGAGACATTACTGCTGGCATTATACCATAACACTGATACCAGATTTTTATTTTCAGTTCCCACCAACTTCACAACACCTTGGAGACCAACAGTTCACACCAATTTCACAACACCTTGGAGACCAACAGTTCACACCAATTTCACAACACCTTGGAGACCAACAGGTCAAACCAATTTCACAACACCTTGGAGACCAACAGGTCAAACCAATTTCACAACACCTTGGAGACCAACAACCACATCACCAAGGGGTAAGGTTACTCACAACTACCGTTGATAACATTTATTTTCATGGACCCAATTTTTATAGATTTCGCAAATTCTGCATAGAAGCCTATCCGAAGTTATTATTTCCTTAAATATTTAAATTCCCGGTACATTTTCACTCACGAAATCCACAAAAACTAGTTCCCCATGAATATTAATGAATCCACAGTATAATGAAAAAGAGGTCAAACAAAGAAATGTGAGGACTATTACCCTTTCCTCATATACACACACATTCCACTCAAGACACCTTAAAATGTTAAACTTTAAAACAATTTATAAAATATTGTTTTAAAACATTAAGTGTTCAATTGCCATCAGAATTTAACATGTATTTTGTAATTTATGATCCACTTAAAAACATAAGAATACCCCAGAAAAAAGGAAGTATTATTTTAATTCAAACCTAGAAATTTTGAAAAAAAAAAAATTTTCTAAAATTTATATGAGTAATAAACCCTGAACTTGAGATATCAATTTTTTGCTGTCCATACTCTGTAATAAAAACTTATACATGTCAACGTTTATAACATTCTAAGATTTCTTTCAATAACGGTGAAGTAACTTTGAATGCAGAACATAATTTATGAGGTAACATGCATATAGCCAATTTACACAGTTTATTACCAGCTTACCCTTCTGGAGGACCTGAGATCACCCCTGGTTTTTTAGTGGGGTTCCTGTTGCTCAATCTTTAGTTCTTTTATGTTGTGTTTTGTATACTGTTGTTTGTGTTTTGGTCTTTTTTCATTTTTTGCTTTGACATTGTCAATATAAAAAGAAGATGTGGTATGATTGCCAATGAGACAACTCTCCACAATAGACCAAATGACACTGAAAAAATTAACAACTATAGGTCACCGTACGGCCTTCAACAACGAGCAAAGCCCATACCCCATAGTCAGCTATAAAAGGCCCCGAAATGACAAATGTAAAACAATTCAAACAAGAAAACTAACGGCCTAATTTATTTACAAATTAAAATGAATGAAAAACAAATATGTAACACAGCAACAAACGACAACCACTGAATTACAGGTTCCTGACTTCAGTTTCTTTTTCGACCTATGAATTTGCATGTCCCTTTGGTTTCTTTCATCAAAAATAAACTGACAACGCTATGGCTAAAATCAAAAACAGTACACAAAACATAGAAAACTAAAGACTGAGCAACACGAACCCCACCTAAAACTGGGGGTGATCTCAGGTGCTCCAGAAGGGTAAGCAGATCCTGCTCCACATGTGGCACCTGTGGTGTAGATCATGTTAGTACAAACCATGTAATAAATGAAGCCAATAGTTATTATTTTTAGTTTGGTCAAATGAAATGTTCTTGAGAAAGAGTAAATGAATGGTCTAAGTAGTTCTTCTACAGTAATCACCAGCTTGTCATCACTGAGGATGTGAGTTCAATGCCCCTCATTACAGGTGCGTTTGACTCAGTCTTAATTGACTAGGATTGCCAGTTTCCCTGCCCAAGGTCTGTGGCTCTTTCCATTTCCTCCACCTTAAAAAAATCTGTCTGCCACTTTTTTGCATACAGTTCTAAAATGGGCTTTAAAGTGTAACCAAGAAAATCCACAGTCTAATATCTAGGAGACTGATTTGTGGATCTGGTCACAACTAAAATATTAAACCTAAATAACCATGCACCATAAACTAGCAGTAATATACAGAAGATGAATTCCACTTAGTATATAATTTATTTCCAAGACTGGAACTTGTCACCAAGGCTGTGACTTCCAAACTTATGTTTTACACAATGATTGTACAATATATATATACAAGAATTAAACTATTAGCTATGGTCAATTATTACATAATGTGTTGACAAGTATAAACAAGTTTCCAGATAAGGAAAGATAAAATAATTAACAACTCTTTAAGCAATATTTAAGAAGGATAAAGGATTAAACCCTAAGGTATTATTGTTGTAAATGCTCTTTTGTTCCGACGTTGGAAAGTTCCGGGTGGAAAGAACTAACTAGCTGAAAAGTTCCGGAGGAACTTATTAACTAGTTACTGTGTTTCTTCCTCTGGTTTAAAAGTTCCACCGGAACAAAGTGACTAGTTGTAAAGTTCCAACGGAACTTATCAACTAGTTAGAAAGTTCCTTTTTGCCAAATTAGTCAAAACCGGAACTAACAAACTAGCCCAAAAGTTCCAACGGAACTTATCAACCAGTCACAAAGTTCCATTTGGAGAATTGATGCAAAGTAAAAGCGCAACATATTATATTTGAACATTTCAAAGGGAAACCAAGATACTGATTACAAAAGTCAAAAGGAACTTATCAACTAGCCACAAAGTTCCTCTTTGGCAAATAAGTCAAAACTGGAACTAACAAACTAGCCCAAAAGTTCCAACGGAACTTATCAACCAGTCACAAAGTTCCATTTGGAGAATTGATGCAAAGTAAAAGCGCAACATATTATCTTTGAACCTTTTCAAAGGGGAACAAAAGTGTCTTATATACTGATCCTCATTCTTCCCCCTCTTCATTATTATGGTACTTAATTCAGTCAGAATATTGCCTTCATAACGGAATAAGTTCTAATTTATTGTTATACATTAATCTGAAATTGATATTTTTAAAAGTACCCACATGAGGAGGGGGTATTCTTCCCTCTCTTGAGGGTACTATGAATACTAAATTTGCATGATAATGCAACTTATTCCGTTTGCTACATTGTTCCGGGACTTTTCAACTAGCTACTTTTTTCTACATAGTGGCTGTTACATTGTCACTTTGAATATAATGTCCATTATCAATTAGATATATAATAACGTATTGTCCAGGTAGATAATATAATATAAAACATAATTAATGATAAACTCTTTGAGTCTCAAACATAGCATTTAAAACCTAAACACAGCTGAAAGTCATTTTAACTTCCAATCAATCTGGAGTAACAGAAACAAACCATAATAATCTATTTAAATTCCCCTTTTTAATTTACTACAAGAACAGTGTTTCTGAAGTTTTCATATATGATTCCTAAATCTTTATGTTTGTTTTGCATTGAATATCCAGATCTTTAAACAATCACACAATTAAAATAGGTATGGATAGCTTAATTGGTATCCAAGAATTCAAGGGTTCCAAAATGCGTCTTTTTCCCATCAACCTTGGTTTTTTTAAGTGAGAAACTGTCTTGAATTTCCAGCATCAATTTCGACAAACAAATTTGTGCTTCAAATTATTTGTCTTTTTTTTCAACAGCTTACATTAACTGGAAAAGTTTTCAGGTCATAAACTGACATGAGCGATTAAGTAGCAAAAAAAAAAAATGAACTACTTTTATAACCTGTTAAAAATTTGTCAATCAATTTGTAATTGGATGCCACCCATGCACAGTCATTATTTTGAAATTGATGGTAAATTTTCAGATTATATAAATAATGTCATCTTGAGGCAATAGTCAATTAGTCAATTCTGTAATTGACCCTGTAATTAGAGATCCAATTGTAAGAGTCATTTCCCTTAGGAGCGAAATGAATTTCATTGACAATGATGAGCTAGCTGAAAGAGCAAATTAACTGCCCATAATCTTTACATTTTTCTTAAAATTATATTAAGTTGTTAAGTTAAAAACTTGTGATGTCTATAGTTATTTTTCATTCAAAATTCAGGTGAAAGATCAGGTTTAAAATGCCTACTGATGATGTCAATTTCAACTTGCTTTAATTTGCATGGGCAGCAGCCAATTGTGTCTACTTTAAATTTAGACCTATACAGTTGGAATTTTGTCTAGGTTAGAACTATACAGTTGGAATTTTGTCTAAGTTAGAACTATACAGTTGGAAGTTTGTCTAAGTTAGAACTATACAGTTGGAACTTTGTCTAGTTTAGAACTATACAGTTGGAATTTTGTCTAATTTAGAACTATACAGTTGGAATTTTGTCTAGTTTAGAACTATACAGTTGGAATTTTGTCTAGTTTAGATATAAACAGTTGGAATTTTGTCTAGTTTAGAACTATACTATACAATTGTAATTTTGTCTAGTTTAGAACTATACAGTTGGAATTTTGTCAAGTTTAGAACTATACAGTTGGAATTTTGTCTAGTTTAGATATATACAGTTGGAATTTTGTCTAGTTTAGAACTATATTATACAATTGGAATTTTGTCTAGTTTAGAACTATACAATTGGAATTTGGTCTAGTTTAGAACTATACAGTTGGAATTTTGTCTAGTTTATGACAATACAGTTGGAATTTAGTCAAGTTAAGGAATTTACAGTTGGAATTTTGTCTAATTTAGAACTATACAGTGGGAATTTGGTCTAGTTTAGAACTATACAGTTGACAAAGTGAAACAACATGTATTAAAAGTGTATAATAACTGAATCAGTAATTGGCAAATAAACTTTTAACATGAATTTGGTCTGATATTAACAAAGTCAACGGTAAAAAGAAAAAATGTGCATGTTTATACAACTGTCCAGAAATATTCAATAGGCATGCTCAATGTATTTTCCTATTTTTAAATAAAATCTATTTGTAGGAACCTGTGGTGGATATTACACTGGACTTACAGGAAGTTTTACATCACCAAATTATCCTGGAAGATATCCAAATTCACAGAATTGTAATTACTATATTGTTGTCCCAATTTATTACACGGTAGTGCTGACCTTTACTGATTTCATAACAGAAGATTGCTGCGATTATGTGAATGTAAGTATTACAATGCTGAAAGTGTTTGTTCTTCGATCCCACTTTTTATCTGTAAGGGTAGGGTATCCATTAGAATTAAATGAAACTTTCTCACAATATTAACCTTATAATGCTATTGTGCTCCTTTTATTCCTGAATAATTTTGAGGGTTTCTCTTAAAGCAAATCATAGACTTTGCCATCGCTTTATGTGAGGTGGTTGGTATCATTTTGTGAGTTTTGCTCACAGTACCACTTGTTGAGTTGCAATTTGAATTCATTTTGATCAACTGGTGAAAAATTTAAGCCAATTTTAGAATAAAGTTCAATATATATATAGAAATATAAGGATATGTGATTTGATTACCAATGTGACAACTATTCATCAAAGACCAAAGGCTGAGGATGTAAATAGATATAAGACACTGTACAGCCTTCAACAATGAGCAAACCTTATAGAAAGCTATTAAAGGCTTGGCATGAAAAAATCTGAAAGAATTCAAAAGAAAAAAAAACAATAGTCTGATTTATGCTTGAATAATAAACTTAGAAAAACAAATATGGAAGACAGCAATTCAACAACAATCACTGAATTACAGTCTCCTGATTTGGGACAGACACTTAAAGACTTATTAGATCAACACTAAGCACGCAAAAGCATTTTGTTCAGCTCTTGCACTGTCAAGATCTGAGCAATCTCAATAGAGGAATTATAGTTTGTTAGGTGATGCATGATGTTAAAGTTGACACTACTGGCATGTCAAAGGCTTATAGTAGTACACATTTAGGTGATGCATGATATTAAAGTTAATACTACTGGCATGTCAAAGGCTTATAGTAGTACACATTTAGGTGATGCATGATATTAAAGTTGATACTACTGGCATGTCAAAGGCTTATAGTAGTACACATTTAGGTGATGCATGATATTAAAGTTGACACTACTGGCATGTCAAAGGCTTATAGTAGTACACATTTAGGTGATGCATGATATTCAAGTTGACACTACTGGCATGTGAAAGGCTTATAGTACATGAAGCACACATTTAGTATCAAAAAGATAATTAACACTGTAGTATCGTAACTTTGTGCAGTTTTCCTAAAAAAAAGCAGTTTGATGTTTCATTTTACAAACGTGTCATGGAAAACAGATTTATATGTAACATCAATAACTGGTTCTATTTTTATTTCATAGGTAAACATGGTAAAGGAAGTGTCAGTACACAAAAATAAGTGCAGTATTTGTGTATTATCTTCATTGAGAGAATTATAACAAAATGATATATCAGACACATATCTTTTATTGAAATCCTTTTTCTGAAGTCTAGGGGTCCGTATAACAAGTTGAAAATGGCTGATTTATGAAGCAATTTGCACGCTTAGTCCTCCAACATGGAGACAAAAGAGAACTTACTCAAATTGGGTCAATCGTTTCCTATTTATTGTCCAACGCACAATGCGTTGCGGGGGGATCTAGAAATACCGGGCGTCCGTCTGTTTGTCCGTTAGCGCTCTCACATGTACAATTCTCAGCAATGTTCAGACGAGTTCGAAACTCAGTGCCAATGAACTATTTCTAAAAGAGTTATGCCCCTTGGAAACATGAATTATATAAATATATGCAAAATTACATCGTTAGCACTCTCATGTGTACAATTCTTGCCAGATTTTTATGAAACTTATATTAATTGTAGGTTTATATCAGCAATGCCTCAGACAAGTTCAAAAATCAGTGCAGATCAATTATTTTTAAAAGAGTAACATGCCCCTTAAGCTTGGAAACATTAATTATATGATAAATTGCATCTTTAGCACTCTCATGTGTACAATTCTTGCCAATTTTTATGAAACTCATATTTAGGTTAATATCTGAGAAATGTCTGGGATGAGTTCAAAAATCAGTGCAGATCAATTATTTTAAAAAGAGTTATGCCCCTTGGAAACATTAATTAAGTGCAAAATTGCATCGTTAGCGCTCTCATATGTACAATTCTTGCCAGAATGTTATGAAACTTATACCATAGGTTTATATCAGCAATGTCTTTGACATTTCGAAAATAATTGCTGATCAAATATTTTTAACAAGTTATGCCCTTGGAAATATTAATTATATTGGAAATCACATTAATTGAAGCATTCATTTCTCTTAAGATATTTATGAACAATTTTAAAGAACACAAACAAAAAGTGTATTTTTTAGTTATTGCCCTTGTACCTAATGAATAGATAAAATATGTGGGGGACATTGGAACTCGGTCCTTTTTTTTTGTATATGTGAATAACACTTAACAGCTATTAGACTATCTAACTTGTGATTTCAAACATAAGCAAACCCCAGGAACTGCATATTTTTTTCTGACAAGTAGGCTATGGAATTATAACCAAAATCTACTGTGTTATATAGATTTATAGCTATAGCAATCAATCATATATGAGTTCCACTACAAATCTTGTTTTTAGGCTAATATATTTTGTTTTTTTAATGTACAGTTATTAATTAAAGTGCAAAAATTACTATATTGTTCTCAACCATATCTTCCCTGTCATACTATAACCCCGCCGCATTTTTGCGCCTGTCCCAAGTCAGGAGCCTCTAGCCTTTGTCAGTCTTGTATTATTTTTAATTTTAGTTTCTTGTGTACAATTTGGAGTTTAGTATGGCGTTCATTATCACTGAACTAGTATATATATTTGTTAAGGGGCCAGCTGAAGGACGCCTCCGGGTGCGGGAATTTCTCGCTGCATTGAAGACCTGTTGGTGACCTTCTGCTGTTGTCTGTTCTATGGTCGGGTTGTTGTCTCTTTGACACATTCCCCATTTCCATTCTCAATTTTATAAAGTGTAAATTTTGTCTAAGAATTAGTTGTTTTCTTTGCTTTACAGGTATTTGATGGACTAACTAATAGTGATTTGTTATTGGTCAGCTTGAAAGGAGATTTGAGTGCACAAAGAAAAGTAGTGAAGTCTACAGCCAACAAGATGTTGGTTTACTTTTCTTCTGATGGCAGTCTCATTTATCCTGGTTTCAGGGCCATTTACACAGCAGACTTTGAGAGTAAGTGGAAAAAGAATCCGTCCTTTTTGAATGTGTTATTAGCATGCATATTTCATGAATTTTCAAAAGACTTTTTTTAAAAATAGTTTCACTTAAATATATGCCCTTTGTATAATCAGTGTTAGAAAGCATTCTGTTGTTTCATTTATTTTTGTTAGGAGCAATTTTCTTGAATTGTAGAAAAATTGTATTTTTTGTGGATATTTGATTTCTTGGTTTTACCAAAGGATGCATAATAGTCACTATATAGAAAATTGGTCCTTTAAAGGAGTACTTTTATTTCAGTGCTTTGTGACCACTGTTTTAATGTTAGTTAAGTCTCCCAAACTTCGTTTGGGAAGACTTATTGTTTTTGCTCAGTTCTTATTATGGCACCCTCAACGGAGTTGGGGTGACATATTGTTATATTCTACGTTTCTTTTTTTCTTATATTTATTATTTTTCTTCCACGTTTTTTGTCCAGCTGATATCTTGAAACTTTATGAACCAATGGTCATGGTACTATACCATAATGTTACCCAGCATGTGTAGATGTGCAAACAGGGTATGGCATATTCAAGATGGCAGCCGTTGTCATGGAAAGTGACTAAATGTGAAAAAATTTCAAAATTCTAAATCTTTCATTATAAGACCCAAGTGGATGAAACTTTATGGAAGTGTTACCTGATATGCCTAGATGTGCATGCAATATTAAGAAGTTCCAAAATGGCCGCCATTATCGTGGAAACAGGGCGAAAGTTTAACATTGAGCCTATGGGAAAATATATAAAAGCTGCATTTTCTTAAAGAATATTACATATTGATCAATGAAACTGTATTGATATGTAACATGGCATGTGGGTCCGTGTATATTTGCGTCTATTCGTTTTTCGTTTTGAAATATCAAAAACAAAAAAACACAAAAAACGAAAGTGTTTTCATTTTTCGTTTTTGATTTCTTAAAAACCAAAATGAAAAACAAAAGTGTTTTCGTTTTTCATTTTTGATTTCTCGAAAACCAAAACGGAAAACGGAAGTCTTTTCATTTTTTCGTTTTTGATTTTTCAAAAACCAAAATGAATATCATAAGTGTTTTTGTTTTTCGTTATTGATTTCTCTAAACAAGAAAAGAATCAACATTTTCATTCAATTTCTGCATTTCGCTCTATTTAATTCTCGTTTTAGGTTATACAATGTTTTCCTTTCCTTTTTGATAGCCATAGTTACCCCGGTGTATTTACTACTTAATGTAGACAGAATAGACCACCTGACTTATGATTTGAAAGGTGATTAATGAATCAAAGACTTTCAAATTTCCTTGTTTTTATCTATAATAAAATATAAAATTATTATAGTTAAATATCAAATGAATCACAAATGTAAATAATACAATGAAATACTATATAAAGATGGTAAAAATACGATTGATTACAACATCACATTAACAAGGGAGGTTACTACTTATCTGATAAGAAAACTAGCCCTGTCGTTAAGTATATCAACAGCGGTTATCAGATCAATAGTATTTAAATCGGAGATAATGCCGACGAATGGAAAACACTTTATCAATCTGAACAATAAAGATGCATGATCTTTACTTTTTCTGTTCTGAAAGGTTAGTTATCTTAGATGGTTAGAACTGATGACCTAGGTCCTTCTGTCAGTATTAGTACTATTACACGAACATTCAGGACAATAATCTGATTATATTTTATTATTAAGATCGTTTGATTGAAAAACAAATTTCCGAAAGTTTACAGTTCAAAATGGGGATTAGCATTCAATCATTTTGCCATTTACGGCCTATTCGTGATGACTTTTACTCATTTGTGAAGGCTATATGGTGACATATACTAGAGGATGTGGAAGGGGGTTACGGAATAGAGAATAATGGGCAAAAATATAAAAAATAGAGAAAATGGTTAAAAAAATAAAGAAAAGAGAATAATGCACTGTTAGAATATAAAGAATAGAGAATAATTGGCGAAAAGTATAATGATTAGAAAAAAATGGCCTAAAACATTAAAGAATACAGAAATGAATGACCCCAAACCAGACCCCCATACTAGTAGTTAGTTGCCTATACCAACTTTTTTTTTTTTGTCTCCAGTAGATTGTTATTGGTAATCATACGTTTTCTCTTTACTTTTATGACTATCAATTAAAACGTGAGCTTCAATAATTTGTCAGCATATGTTTACTTAACTTCTTTGCTTCCTGGTGACAAAAAGTAAAAATTTTATCAATTTATTGCATCCAAAGCACTTTTCTGGTTTTATCTTTATCAGGAGGGTTAGGCGGGGGAAAGCAACAGTACATTTCACCTGTTGGTACTGTAGCATCACTATTCTTTCATAATCTTGTGCCTGCTTTTTTTTTTATTTACACCAGGTTATACTTTTCATTTTCTAAACCTGTCTATCCCCCACTCCTCCCCTGTGCAAAATAATATAATTTCATTAATGGTGGCCCCTTTAATTTATGATAAACAATAATTGAAAAAAAACAACATAGTATGTGTATATGTCATACAGCTACGGAAGACAACAACAGAATCACGGGTGTCATTCGATATATCGAGAAAAAAATCGTGAAAGAATGCCTAACGGTGGTCAAGTATTACGATTGGATCGTGAAAGCTCTGATATAGTAACTTGAATTCAATCTTATCGAGAAGACATATGCGAGGTCAATTACTAATCTAAAATAATGAATTATACGAAGAAACTCACAAAAAACTAAAATTGTCTGTCAAAATGGTTCAACATAATGATTAGTATCTGAGAAAAATCAAGGTTTAAAAGTAAACCGTTCATACAAAACTACAAAAGGCAGATTGCTCCTCGACATTCCAATGACATTAAATATGTAAACAAACTAAATGTTTTTGATAATTCGAATGACTAAACAACTTTTCTTTGAAAAATGTAATTTCATTTGAATGATTCAAATAGTTCTTAGATTTAATAAGTATTAAATGCCCAAAGACTTAGAGGAAAATGGGAATCCGGTGAAATACCTTTGCAATTATTTACGATGCATCTCTATGAAATATACCCTGGCTTAAGTGTTTAAGTGTTCTGTCTATACGGAAAGTAAATCCATCGTACACAAATCCGCCTTTCAATGAATATGTGAACATCTTTCCATGACTTTGGTAAATTTTTGAAGATTACAGGTATACAACTATTATAGGTAAAAAGTGCAAATATCTTGTCTATTTTGTTCAGGTGTATCAAAGTTAAAAGCGCAAATGTCCTTTAGCAAAACCTATTCAATGTAAGATTATATTTGTACAAGTGGTCATTATAGGTAAAAAGTGCAAATATCTTGTCTATTTTGTTCAGGTGTATCAAAGTTAAAAGCGCAAATGTCCTTTAGCAAAACCTATTCAATGTAAGATTATATTTGTACAAGTGGTCATTAAGGGCACTATGCCCTAAGCGTAATCTAGTATGAATCTTTTTCTCATAACCATGCCCTCATGAATATATTGTTTTACTAAACACATTGAGAATCTTCCTTCACAACCTTTTGAAACTCACCAAAGATGTTGCTAAAATTAGTTCAGTTGACAAGCTCTTCCAGTCTCTAATCGTAGCTAGAAGAAATGAATTATGGTATGCTACTATTCTTGACCTGATAAATATCAAGTTGACATGTCGTCTAAAGTTATAGTTTTCGGTGTTGTGATGGAATAATGTAGATAATCTGGGACAAGATGATTTTTAATTTTGTACAGGTATGTACTGAGTCTATGAACTTTACGGCATGTTTTAAGAAGCTCAAAGCCAACCTAAAGCTAGGAACAGTTTCAATGAAAAACACTTTTATTTTACTGTATTATCTGTCACACCAAAGATTAAGTTTCAAATATATCATTATATATTGGAATGTAGTCATTATAGGTACAAAACGTGTTCTTTTTTTAATCAATTCCATATACTTGTGTTGCGCCTTTTGTGTTTTCACATAAAGTACAGCATATTTTATTTATCTTATTGCACAGTATTATTGAGAAAGTTGAATCATTTTGACTGCCATTATTTTTTTTTTCGGAATTGTTCCGCAATTTTAAAATACAACAGATTTTTCACAGATTTTGAAGTAGAATTTCAAGTAATTACATTCACGATCCTATACCAGATCTTTCACGATCCGATCGCAATGCTTGACCACCGTAAGGTATTCTTTCACAATCATTTCTCTCGATATACTGATAGACAGCCGTGAGAATTAAAGGCTCCTGCCTTCAAACAGGCCAATATATTCGAGTGATACTCCCCAATTCATACCTGGGGGGTGTAAAAATCAGTTCAAAAGAACACAGTTGTCTTTCACATGAAACCACGTAAAACAATGGTTAATAGTTACTTTGGTATAAATGATCGAGAAAATAAGAAGGTAAAAAACAAAACAAATATTAAAATTAAGACAGTATTCATGCAATAACTACAACTTGGATACATTGATTGATTGATTGATTGATTGATTGATTGATTGATTGAACAGGGATTTGCTCATGTTACTCCGAACGAAAGTCATGTTTGTTGTTGTTATCATAATAATTATTTGTATTGCCGCCTTAATTTCACCAATGAAACTTTTCATTAAAGTTTGCCTTTGTATTAAATTAATTTATAAACTTCTTGGAACTCTACAATGGCCGTCTGATTACAATTCGACCCGCAAGAATGTGAAATATGCGAATTTATTTGGCCTTCAATGCCTCAACTCTTTTAACGTGGGAATCCTATGGGAAAGAACATTGACATAATTTTCTAAACGTTTTTTGGAACCCAATGACATTGCATAGTGTTGCAACCTGTAATGTGAAGGTGTGCATGAAATTACGGAGAGTTTGGGAACTTCGGTCTGGTCAAACCAAGGATTTTAAAATTGGTTTGTGCTGCTTCTCTTCAAGCACGTGGCATTAATAAGTAAAATCAGAGACTGGTCGGCTCCGAGTCAAAATAATGAATCCGCGTAGGATGACATGTCTTCCTGCGAACTATGTCGAA